AAATATCAATGTTAATGAAAAATAGCAACAATGGTTTATTTGACTAGGTTTCGGCTACCACGGCCATTTTCATGGTAAAAGCTTCAAAATGCTGCTGTTGTTCAATTTTAGAAGTCTGAGAACTAACACGTATATCGTGTAAACACTTATTTTGAATATAATTAAAATTAATAAATTTTGTCAAATATAATTTTGAAATCATATGATTATACCTTTCAAAATAATGACTGCCTTTTATAAAATAAAAATTTAAATAGTTCATATTTAGGAATTCAGATGGCGCTATTATACCATGTAATTAATTGATACCAGTTGGGATATATTATCAAAGAGAAATGCTCATTGCAACATTTTAAGTATTCTGATCATTATTGACTGTATTGACTCATCCATTGATGAGCTCTACTCTTCTCCAGCAGACACCGTTAAAAGTCTCAATTTTCACAAGCTTGATACCTTAATATGATTGAGTGGAGATAAGATAGAAGAAGAAGAAGTATTTTGATGTATTCCCACTGTTCTCAAAGATTAGGTCGATAGTTGTATTAAATTACTTCAGAAAGAATATTACCCTCCCCTAGCATGTCCTGTTAACTATCTCAGCGTGATTCACTCGATCTATTGACAAATCAACTGCCTCGGCGTGTCGGGGAGGTGACTTTGGGCAGGAGAGTATGTCTGGAGTCTTGTACTCTTGATAGAGCCACCCTTAGTATAAAGGCTGTCCTACTGAACCCAGATAAATATAAAAGGACAAAGTCGTATTTCTACCTTTGTATGTCTCAGATGTTCTCATCAACAGAAAACTCACTCAATTACTACTTATGGATTCTACTCTTCTCACTCTAGAGAAGGGTGAGTTTCTAGATATGATCTAAAGAGAAAAGTACCAACACTAAAAATTCCCCTTCAGTGCCGGATATACTGCAAAAAACAATATTGGAGCGGTTGATATACCATGTACACCAGAAAAGAACCTACTGTACATAGAACCAAACTGTAAACATATTGTCAAGTATCTCTGCAACTCCGGTCACAAGAAGCTCCATGGGACACCTGTCAATCATCATCCCTGGACTCCGGGGGGCACAGGTGTGAGAGGTTCTCGGAATCTTATCAGCAAATAAGGAAAACGGGACGCCTCGGTGGTTGACCACTCTCATAACTATTATTTTTATTTGGGATAAGTTGTTATAGTATCTGACTCTTTCTCCCTACAAATACCTCTTGTATATAGTTTTATTGGAAAACTAAAAGGTAAATACCCTTTATAATAAATTATTTATTTCCAAATTTGCCCTTATTTATCTCCGCAAAAATATTCAAAACAACAAAATTATTTGACATTTTAAAGCGATACGTTGGATTAAACAGAGGACACTTCTGAGAAGATTTACAGGGAGGACCTTCCTCATATTTTTCTCATTGAAGTAAGGGCAGTAGGGAATTGCCTTTTCCTTTCCAAAAATAGAATTTTACGCGCTTAAATAATGTATGATATTGAAAAAGGAAAAGTGTTGAAACACAAACACCCATTCTCTCTCACTCATGATGATTAGAATTTCATTAAATGGATCAGCGAATAATTTGAAAGGAAAATTTCACAATTTCTACAACGTTGAGTATTATCTATGGGGTTATTATGGTTTATACTTAGATGTGCGATTAATGATCTAGATGTTTGAACATCCTATTTTATATATAATATTAAATACGTTTATATTCTATAGAAAATGTAGTTCTTTCTTTAAAATCACTAAACATTTATAGCATAGTGTTATATATAGTGTTAATTATTATTCCATCCACGCCTCGCGGCCACGCCGATCTCCCGATTCCTGGCGAGATGGGCACCCACCATCAGCCCACCATCCAGGATCGACTGGGCCTCGCTCCGGCGGTGCGCCTTCTCGGGGCATGAGGCCGATGCCGCCTTCAAATTGGCCCTCCACGCTCTACCCCATCCGGCCCATCCTGCCTCGGCCGTCCCCTCGTGTCCTGCCTGTGGGTCCGTCGACCGCTCCCTCGGCCACCGCTACTGGAGCTGCTCTTCCATCAGGCCCCTCATCAGAGAGGCCTTCAACATCATCGGGCGGCCCCCTGACCTGCAGGCCTGGATCTTCGGCGGGTCCGGCTTTGAGGACGACGCCCTGACCATCCTGGCGTCGGCAAAGCTGCGCGTCTATCGCCACTTTGTCCAGGTTGGGCTCGGTGGGGTGGAGGACCCGCTCATCGCCTGGACGAGGACCCTCGTGCGCAGGGGATGCCTTCCTTCATCCTCCATCATCACTTTGTAAAAATGTTGTATTTTATTTTTCATTCTCCTGTATATATTTCTCTTGTTCTCTCTCGCTGAATTGTAAAATTGTCTAGACGACAATAAATATTTTTCAATTGTCAATTGTCACACACACATACTATTCAAGCATGATTAATAATGGAATTATTTAAGGGTTTTTAATAATCAATCACTCTGAGTTTTTAAAAATGGCTTTGTGTCGTAACTTGACCTTTGCTTTTCCTCATCTTTTTACATTACTCTATTCCCCTGTTGATACTGTGTTAAAAATAACCTAAGATATATTATTATCTATAAGAATTTTACTATTTTGAAACTATATTATAATTTTTACTATTAACCTTTTCTATTTTATATACGGGAAGGAGATAAACTATGGCTTGGCTCATCAATGAGGAACCCACCAAATAGTTTCGACAGTATTCTCTCCAGAATACTATGGCGAATATAAAAAAAAATGCGAATTCTATTATAAAGAGATTTTAAAACCTTTAGAAATATATTGAAAAATAGTACAAACGTGATATTGTACTTGGATAAGGTGTATAAATTAAGAAAGAAAAAAAGGCATCTTCTTATCGCACAACTGAAAGTTTCTGATGGCTTGCGCCATCTATCGGAGTAAATATAAACTGCTTGTTGATTTTTAATTATTCAAGAATGTTTAGCCAATTCTGAAATAATTAAAAATCAACGAATAGTTGATATCTTTACCGATAGATGGAACAAGCCGTCAGCAACTTTCAGTTGCACGATAAGGAGGTGATCTTTTTTATTTCTTTAAAAATAAGTTTGTTTAATATCAAAACCGCGAGATTTCGAGCTTTCGCTTTTCAACGGGTAGCATTATAACTGGGAGTGAACTCCTCAGATCTGTATCGACCTCCCGTGTTCACTCTTAGGTTAAATTTTCCCGTTGAAGAGACAGAGAGTTCGAATGTTAATATAAATAATAATATAGCTATTGCGTGTTAGCACAGTTTCCCAGTCCAACTGCATCTCTTGGCTATACCGTTGAGATTAATACATGATTGAACTTCCCTGGTTGGTCTGTAATTATCTGTATTTGCGGCGCTATGTTATATCGATTCATCTATGGCATTGAATATTATTATAAAACTACTCATAGTCTCTAAGGCAATATGTTGGAAATACTTCAATGCTCATTTGCAATTGACACTCCCATCTGTTTTACCATCCTCTGTCAATAGTTCTGCTCATAAATCTGGTGATTGGATGGTGGATTCTCAAGAGGTTTCACTCTGAGTCTATTGATTCAAACGACTTAATTAAGAAATTGGTAAAAAAAACATCATTGAATGGTTTATGACTTTCTAAAACATATATCTAATAGTTTTCCCTATTTTTGTATTTTTAATTGATTTTATCTCTATATTAGTATTTGAAACAGATATTATTCTTAGTTCTCAGAATGTGAGAATGACTTAAAGGCAGAGAGCGTCTCATGCGAATGAAGAATGGCTAGTTGGTCAATATATGAATACATAGAGTACGGAAAAGCTGGTTATTTGGTTGAAGAAGCCAGTATTTTCATTTTGGGTCAATGAGGGCAAAGAAAAGAGGCACTGGTCAGTTGTCCAGTGAAGCCAAATTATGCATATAACTTGGTATGTTGATCAGTAGGAATAAAGAGTGTGGAAAGTAACTGGTTAGTTGTTTATCGAAGCCAAAGTATTTAGTAACTATCCATTTGGTAAGTGATTTAAAAATGTGTAGACTGGTGAGTTGGTTAGTAAGGTCAAAGTAAGTGAATCCAAAGAGTTGGAAGATAACGGTAAATCTGACAGTGAAGTGAGAACTGTTCGTGTTGGTTAGTTGCCAGAGACAGCAAATAGTACAGAGCAGCTGATCAATCAGCCATTGGAAGACAATTATACCTCTTCATTGGTCAGTTTCTAGTGAAACCAAAGAACACAGAGAAGCTGATCAATCAGACAGTGAAAATCAGTGAGATCTGTTCGTTGGTCAGTTTCCAGTGAAACAAAAGAGTACAGAGCAGTTGATCAATCAGACAGTGGAAGTCAATAATGCCTGTTCGTTGGTCAGTTTCCAGTGAAATCAAAGAGTACAGAACAGTTGATAAATAAGACAGTGAAAGTCAATGCAACCTGTTCGTTGGCTAGTTGCCAGTGCAGCCAAAAAGTAGAGGGCCACTGTCAATTCAGTCGGTGAAGCCAAAAGGTAAGGATACTGTTCAATTGGTAAGTGGAGCCAAAGGGCAAAGAGACTGGTCAATTGGTCAGTGAAGCCAAAGGGGACAATGAAATATGACGGGAGATAATCTCCATTGCGGTAATCTCCAATAACAGAGAATTGGCTGCGGAATCCGATAATCCTTGGACATGGAAAGTTACCATTCTACGTATATTGGACACATCCTCCCGTGCACAGAACATGAACTAATGAATTAATTATCTTCCTAAATGTCATATTTTTGAACACTATTGAGAGGGACGTGGACAATATTGAGAGGGTCTGGTGATACCTATATTTTAGGTATATCTTACATTTTACACAGATTTTTATATAAAACGACATTTGAAAATTATCCCGCATGTGTTTCTTTTAAACGAAAAATAGAAATTTATTTTTAAGGAGAAATAACGATTATTTCTAACCTTAGAGATGAAGTATAAAAGGATGAATTGTGAAGAGTAATGATAAACGGAAAAATAAAAGTGTCCAGGGATAGGATTCGAACCCGGGTTCCGCTTACCTGGCAGATGCAATGTCCACTAGGCTACCCTGGACATATTTTCCCTTTCCTATATATTATATGGACATGGCATCTGCCCGGTAAGCGGAACACTGTGGGTTCGATTCCCATCCCTGGAAACTTTTATTTTTCGTTTATCATTACTCTTCACAATTCATCCTTTTATACTTCATCTCTTAGGTTAGAAATAATCGTTTTTTCTCATTAAAAATAAATTTCGATTTTTCGTTTAAAAGAAACACATGCGGGATAATTTTCAAATGTCGTTTTACAATCATAAGACGCATTATATTGCATTATAGATTTTTATATACATAGAAACCAATATGGAAATATATACATTTTTACTCAATATTCTAACACATAGAACTGAACCATATTATTTGAGAAATTAGAAAATATTTAATATTTTGACGACAAATAAACCAAATATTTAAGTGCGTAGTGTATGAGTTTTAACATAAAAATATACATATTTTAGTCTTTTGCGTGAACAACTAATATATAATTCTTTTTATGCATGACCTAAACCATATATTTATTGTATTTTGTATAGCAGAATTAAACATTTAAATCTATATTTTCACAAATGATCGATATAATTTAGTTTTCTCCCTTCCATCTTATGGTCTCTCTTTATCATGAAATATCATGTGAAGTAACTCTATATTAGATAAAAAGTGGATGCCCAAATTTATGAATTCTGAACAAAAGTCTTAGCGCTTAAAGGAATAGAGACACTGCAGTAGAATTATAGTGAAGGTAGTACCAAACGTCTACCTGCCTTGAATATGATAGTCACTTGGGATCAAAAATAAATATATAAATATATATTCTAACATTAAAATATTTGAAAGGCATTTAGAGTTAAAGGAGAGAAGCGAGCAGATAATAAAACAAGTATAAAAGATTACTCTGTTTTATATACATTTAGATTATGAATATTAAATGAAGCAAAAATCACTTATCTATCTTTATTTAATTTATCCTTTCTAGCAGTAAAATTCACTTATATAACACGATATAATATAACAATATAGCTTTTTGCGATGATAATATTCTAATATGATTTAAACATTTATAATTCACGACTAAAGTGACATTAGAGAATCTGAAACACATTTTAAATACCATTTAACCTGTGCTCAGGAGGTAATGTAGATTGAAAAGGAAATTTAAAAACTAATTTCAGTAATGAAGTGTTCTAGAGAGTGAGTGTGGAGAAAATTGAATTTCTAAAGGACAATTTCGGATTTGAAATTGGCAACTTCCGATTGTGTCATGTACATCGAAATGTTGAGTTCATAAAAAAATACTATTAATTGTATTTTATTATCACAATTATTATTTGTACGAACCCTATCGCAACTTATAAAACGTTCATGTTAGTGGTTAGGATATGCCTAATTTGTTTTTAATCCTAAATTTATATAATAAAAGTTCATCAAATATGGTATTGGTACATGGATTCAATATAGAAAGATTCTAAGATTTAAATATTTTGGCGAAGAAATAATTTATTATTTAATTTAATTATTAAATGAAAATATTTGGAAACAGATTTAAAATTTCACATTTTATAAATCATCATTTAGTTTCCTAGCCTATATTTATTATCCGTTTTTGACTCTAAACTAACACAAGCATAATGGTTAAGGAACAGGTTTGAAAGTCAATATGATAAATATGTAGAGAGAATTAAAATAGAGTAAAACATGGCTAAGGTATCATGATACATATTGTCGCGCTTGACCCCTCCGGTTCTTCGCGACGACGCCGCTTCCTCCTTCGTGATTCACCTACCCAGGCTCCGGTTTCTTCTCCTTTGCAGCCCTACCCTGCAGACCGCCCAAAGGCCTTCTGAGAACCACTACTCGAGTGGATCTCCTTTCCCTCTGGCAGTATTTCTCGGCCTTACCAGAAGAATAGCGACTGTGGTGTTGGCGAGAGATTCATTACAGCAACCGGCACAAATACTTGTAACACTCCTTTTTTTATGATCACTATTAAACAACATTACATAATAACTCGAATATTAATCAACGGGTATTTTCACTAGTTTACATCCCAGGGCCAATATTAACGGATATTTACAAACATTAGCTCCAGAAAACAGGACCACAGCAGTCGGCGATTTCCACATTATTTCCAGATTCCAGGCGAAGGCTTCATCTATAGGCGGAGGTTGTAAGTGTTTTCAGGCCCATATACGTGACAATATTTAATTGTGAATATTTTATTTATTAAGTAAAACCTAATGACAAAGTTTATAAACAATATAAAATTCACAACTGGCAAAATGCACTCATGGACAAAAGTTGTACCTTTTAGCATATATATCGGAACAATAACTCTGAAAGATATTTGATACACAGTGATCTTTATTGAAGGCAAATAAAACAACCAAGTGTAAACAACATTGCCTCTGTTTCCTTCAAAAGACAGCTGACTAGCGATTTCAAAGAATTTCACTTCCTTAAGTTTTATTCATTAGTGTAAAATAGCTTAAATAAAATAATATCAAACAAAAATTATGTTCCTTTCCAGTTTCACACAAATGAGCTCTTTAAAGCACATTTACATAATATTGTCAAATGAACCTACATGGACCTATTACACAGTTTCTACAAAGATATTGTTTTTTAACTGTGTAATAGGTCTTTCGTTGTTCTATAGGGGCCTTGTATTTTAAATATTCGCAAAGTATTCAGGAATCAGGATACTGCAATGGCCAACTGAATTAGGAAAGCGTATGTTTATATTTCCCTGAGGAAAGAATTATTCAAAAATAAAATTATTATAAGTTTCATCACACACGTTGAATTTCCTAAAATTTCTACAAAAAAAATAATTGTTTAAAATCATAAGTTTTGCTAATTTTAAAATGAGCAACCTACTGTGTAGGCGATAGAAGAATGTAATATAATAGGTAGCACGCGCGCCTAACGGCCGTAAGAGATAGGGCATGAAGGTGAAGCAGTTGTGAGATAAGTCGGATCAGGTTGTGGACCGTGGTACATCCACGGTCAGAGTTAAGTGCGTCACCAGTTTCAAGACAGATTGCGCTCGGAGCCGTGTGGGATAAATGCTTGGCGCATGCATCAGCTCTTGATACAGGAAAGGAAATCCTTGATCATCGCAGGAAGAGAGTCTGCACCGCGATCTCTGTCAAATAGCTGAAGATGACTTATCCTGCAGTAAACTCTGGCGAAATGCTTCTGGATACAGAGCATACAAATAGTTTCAGGCATTGAACGCATTAGTACAAGAGCGTCATCGAAGAAAATTTAGACAGTCGCCTACAGCCAGAGTTCAGGAACAAGCAGAAGCCTTAAAAACGTTATTCGGAGACAAATAATTTCAATTTGGCATGTGTTGAAAATAGGAATGAACTCAAGGACACTCAGCATTCTCCCCTTCTTGTTGAGAGCCAAAGGTCAGAAGTCCGAGGTGTCTGCCACGCCCGCCTGTCCGCTAGAAAGCCTTTAACGACCCTGTGCAGTACACCCTGTCAGGCAGGAGGACCGAAGATGACCAGCGTTGCTCAACAGGCCGATAATCCCCTCGGAGATTGGCCGTGCCAAGAATCTTCCTAGAAGCGATAAGACTGAGCTTATAACCCACCGCGCAAGCAGCCGGCCATTGGTAGTGTCAGAAGGAACGTAGTCGGTGAGATAGTACGTAAGAAATCCCGGAACAAAGTTATTAGTAATGATACAACATCTCCTGATGGCTCACTCTAAACCCCCATAAGGTAAGTGGACTTGGGGACGACGATATTTATGATGGAGATCTTGAAGCCGTCGATTTTTTTTTAGAGAATTCGAATAAGCATCCGGGTTTAAAAGAGAACAACAAAAGAAGGCGGCGCAGAAGCTCCAACCCCTCTACTTAATCCCGTTATGAAGTAAAGATACTCTGTGCGTACATTTCTGCTCTGGATGGCGTTGTCTGCTTCTCCATGGAGGGCAGAAAGAAAGATGACAGGCACAGCTTCTCCATCAAGACCATCAGATATCTTCTGTTTAGTTTAACCCCTGCCTACCGGCGGGTTAAAAGGTTCACTTAGATAGAAGGTCTTTCTATATATGGGCCTCATAGAACTGGGTAGTCATTCGATCCGAGAATGTCTTATGTCGATATCTGATGGTCGTGTTGGAGTAGTTAAGCCTGTCATCTGTGTCTCTGTCCTCAAGAAAAAGACAGACACCGTCCTCTAGGGCAGAGATGTACACACTATTTAGGCTGTTGGAAATCGACTCTGGTATAGACTTCGGTCTAGGCATCATACTACCCATAGGTGTCGGAATTCGATCTCAGGTCCAGAGAAACCATAATCAGCGTCGTGTCTTATCTAGTTTCTCAGACGACTTCGTCAGAAATTCTAGTGGAGTTCCAGAAGAAGGATCGTCTCGGAAGAGCGTCCGTTTGACACCGGGTGCGATGTATGGCCGATGACGACGCAGATGGCACATGCAGCTATAGATCTTATAGTTGAACATTGGAAGGCTGATGATCCGGAGTAGCTGTAGACTCGGACCACCGTGCGAATTTCTTAGCAAGATATCATTTATATGCTTCAAATATAAAGTCAAAGCATCGCGTAGCTAGGAAGCCTCGAAGACTTGCTAAATGATCTCCGTGAATTAGGCCTTCGGTATCCTTGGTTAACTCTAAAAGAAATTCGTATCAACTTAAGGCATGACCTTTTAGCAAGAGGTAGATAGCTGCTGCTATCTGTTCACAGAAGAGGTCACCGAAAAGAGCTGGTCAAATTCGTCGAACTTCCTCAATGGCTCTTCGGTGAGGATTTCCGCAATAGCTTCTACCGAGCTGGGAGCCTGGACAAATCGATTGCTAAAATATTCAGACAGCCAACGCCTTAGATGGCCTCCGAAAATGGTGTTTCCGTCATCGTAAATTAAGGTGGGAGGAGAGCGATGTTTGGCTCAAAAGAAGCAGACAGAGTCATGCTCCAGTTTCCGTCATAGGAACCGCCGGGCTCTAGGAACCGTATCACGGTAATCAGACCGA